AAAACCTTCTAAAAATAGTCTGTAAATATTGATATTTTATTTCATACAGACCCTAAAACGTGCTACTACACCACTTGCACGGTTCGGTTCTTTTCGCTTTGTGTACGGTACGGTACGCTTCTTGCACGGAACGGTACGCTTTGTGAACGGTACGGTTCGCTTTGTGCACGGTACGGTACGCTTCTTGTACGGAACGGTTCGTTTTGTGTACGGTACGGTTCGCTTTGTGCACGGTACGGTACGCTTCTTGCACGGAACTGTTCGTTTTGTGAACGGTACGCTTTGGTGAACGGTATGTAAATTAAGTGGGCGGAGTCTGTACGCTTTAGTTTATGATTGGCTACTTCATAAAGTCGTTTATTTCTTTATTATAATCTCTTTATTTTATATAAATTGAAGGACGGTATCGCAAGCATTTTTAATAAGTTGTTTTTAATTAGTCAAAGCTGTTATAAATATTTCCTTTTTACAGCTGTGTTTTCGTTATTACATGTAACTAGTCGTCTTATTAACTGTATCTTTTTTAATTTACTTTCTGTACTCGAACTACTTTCAATTTTTGAAATGAATAATTTTAGCTGTCTATTTATTATCATTTTGTACACAATCTCTTTATGGTTCAATAACTTTGAAATAGATCGAACATATCAACAAACACTGCATAACAAGGATGAAAAAAAAATATTTTGGTTGCTTCGCCATAAAGGCCTTTCTGTAATTTTTTTTAAAAAATAATCGAACATATATTTTTTATTTCCTTTCAATTTTCCTAATTGAATACAATTATTAGTTTAAATATTCACTTATCACACTTTTAAACAAATGAGTTTGATTTTATAAATCCCTCATGCTCTCATTTCGTCTACCATTCTTTTTACATTCTTGCCGCTGTTGCTTCATTAAAAAAAAAACAACAACAACAACAAAAATTTTCTTTTGACCGAATGATCAAAGAAACAATTAAAAAATAAGTTATTGTTTTCATATTAATTTGTGAGGAATTTTATTTTATTATTTTTTTTACATAGATTGCTTAGGTGTTTGGCTCACTAGGAAAAATACACTAAAAAGTAATCGGTAGAAGTGCACACAATTAGTGCAAAATATAACTTAATTTTTGTGCGCGTAATTGTTTTCCTTTTTACATAAGTTTTCCATCAATGTGTAAAAATGCTTTTTAAAGGGAAGTTACAATCGAGAAAACGGTTAAGACAGCTTCAATTCCATCTACAATGTATAAATGTATATTAATATATATTGACTGCAAAGAAAGATTTCCGAAATAAAAATATGTCAACATGTTAGAAATAAATAGTCCGTTTTTAATTACCTAGAAAATAAATAATATGCAGCCATGTATGTCCTTAAAAACTTTGAAAACGAATAACTTGCCCATGCCGGGTGCTACCCCCCCCTCCCCCCCTTTGTTTCCTTGTCAAACTCAAACTTTTGTATTGAAGATCTAGAAAAAAAAAAGCTGTCTGCACATGAAATCCTACTTATCTGCTGATTAAAACTGGTGGGTTCATTGTTGTAGACTTACTGTATAAGACAGCAAACTGTTGATACACGTGTGAATGTAGGCATATATGGACTAACGGGATTAGATACGGTTCAATATACACAGTTTAAGTTTTTACCTGTGCACGTGTGATGACAATACTTGATCGAAATTTTCAAATGTTTTAGAGTAAATAACGAAAGTATGGAAAGATGTCAGTCTAGATAACAAGACCATGTCAAGAAATGTACAGTGTTTCTTAAAAAAAAAAAAATGGATGAACATGCATGCACGGACGAATCATTAAAAAAAAAGATTAATCTTGGCTTTACGTGTAAATTCCAGGTAACATATTTTACCTGCAGGTTTCAGTGAATAAAGCAAATGAAATGGAAAAATACTTTAAATAAAAATTAATTCCGACATATATCCATTTTTTTTTTTTTTTTTTTTTTTTTTTTTTTTTTTTTTGATTACGTGTATTAAACTGAAAATTCCATGCGAAAATGTGGCGACCGAACCTTTTGACAGTATGTTATATTGGCGATAACATCTTAGGTTGGTCAGAAGAGTGTTAACCAACACAGTTATTTATATATACATCGCTTTTATTTTTTTCTATTGATTGAGAGGCGTTTACATTTGAACATGTCCGGTTTCAAATTGACAATTTAGTTTCGTAATTTTTTTTTTGATTTTTTTTTTAATCATATCTCCCTAAAACTTTTACTTACATGAATAAAAAATGAAACTAAGGGCTTGATTTCGGAAAATAGCACAGAATCCTAATACATTTTTCAATTTGTCTTGGTTTCCGAGAACGTCCATAGAGACAAGAATAGGGTAGAGTAAAGCTATAGAAATAAACGATAAAGTACTTAATTCACATTTCTTTATTATAAATTGTACACGAAAATATTACGATGCTGCATTTAATATGAAAAAAAGTTAGGAATAAGGAATCGCCTCACACTCTGTCGAGTTGTTTTGAAGTCGTAGTTAGTTTTGAGTAGTTTCCTTATATTAACAGATGTAAGTCCAGATGCATGGTACTAAATAATAATATTTTGAATCTCTAAGTTATTTTCCATCCTTCTTTAACGGGCGCTGCGTCGAAAGAAATAAAAAAAATACTTACTGTAATTGGTCATCGTAAGATCGGGGCGTGGCTTGCATAATTATTTCAAAAATTATTCATGAACGGTACGGTTCGCTTTGTGCACGGTACGGTACGCTTCTTGTACGGAACGGTTCGTTTTGTGTACGGTACGGTTCGCTTTGTGCACGGTACGGTACGCTTCTTGCACGGTACGGTTCGTTTTGTGTACGGTACGGTTCGCTTTGTGTACGGTACGGTACGCTTCTTGCACGATACGGTACGCTTCTTGCACGGAACGGTACGGTTCGTTTCTGAGGTGTAGTAGCACGTTTCAGGGTCTGTACGTATTAAAATGTAAACCAGAGATAAAGGTTTGTTTGAATTTCAGATTTCTGCTATTCTGTTAATTTATAATACATTGGAATGTATCACATACCTCGACTATCAGAAGCAATTTATGTGGGGCTGTGTCGAAAATTAGGGACTCCTACAGAAGTGAGGTGCAGAAGGGAAGCTATTGACACTGTGGAGATTGTGAGTAAAAACGAGCATCTCATATGGGGAATAGAACAAATGATGAATGGAAGTAGGCGTGAAGGATTCAGACTACCTACTTTAGATATAGATGTCATGTATTGCTATACAGACCACAAGGTTATATGCAATCTCTCACAGAGCAGTTTCTACCGTATCCCACAACACACCGTGATTCTGATGGAATGTGAGGATTTACCACCAGGATTTACAAGACTTAATCTTATGACTCCATCAACACGTCCAGAAATCAGATCCTCCTGTATAATGAGCAATAACGAAGTCTATATTTCTAGCACATTATTTCGCAAGAACCAGTTGCGTTTAGTCCAGTCCAACTCTTATGTCATTGCCTCCCATTTCTCTCATGGACCTTGTTCTACGGTTATAAACCAACAAATAGAATTAGACAATGTAAACTGCTTGCAGTCACAGCAATGGCCGACAGACGTTTTACCATGGATACAGCGATGTCAACAGCAAGGTTGGCCATCCGAAAATGTTGTATCAGATATATTAAGCGGAGGATTCCATGTTGTTCCAATCGGTAGCACACCTGAAAATGGAGAAGAATGGAGAATATCATTCTCGCTAGCAGAACAAACACTTGTTTATTCAATGAATCACTGTCAGTTTTTATGTTATGGTCTCTTTAAAATTTTTCTTAAAGAAGTTATTAATTTTCGGAACAATTCACACGTTATTTCTTCATATTTCATAAAAACAATTCTATTTTGGGTAATTCAGAATAAGATTGTTATGACTTGGACACAGATCACTTGTTGCTTGGTTTCTGGGAATGTTTAAAACTTTTGATACACTGGGTACACATTGGAGAATGTCCATTTTTTTTTATTCCACAGAATAACATGTTTCGACTAAAAGTTATCGGGTTTGTCCAAACTTCAATGTTCAGTAAGTTGTATGATTTGTATTGTAAAGGGATATCATGTCTGCTATTAAGTCAAACCTTGAGAATTTACCTCAGCAAAGCCATATTAAACAGCACATCGACAATGTGTTCAGAGGAGAGCAGTATCAAATCTAGCATTGATTTAGATTATAACTTTTTTACAGAATTTGAATTTGATGAGTGTATTTTTCGTATTAAGAGGTTCTACGTTTTAATAAAGCAAATAGAGAATGTTATGAGAGGAAGGTTGACACAATATAAGGTAGATATATTACAAAGTATGACCTCAAGGTTGTTTCGGGGCGCTGCAAATTTGAAACAGAAAGATATATATCCGAATGAAAATCGTAATGAGGTGTATTACAAAGCAGCTACTAAAGTATATGTATTACTTAAACTGTCATGTTCATTAGGTTTCGTGTCAGACATTCTGTATCTTGCAATGTACTTATATAGAACACGTAGATTTGAACATTCACTCAATTGTTTACATACAGCACAGAATAGAAAGTCATTGCCATATGTCATGCATAATGCTGTAGTAAATGTAAGTGTGTACAGACACTGCATGTGTGGGATATCTTTGGGAAACAAATTAAGAAAAACTCAAGTAAAAAGTGTTCGTTTATTGGGTGAGTACACTTACATGGATGAACTTGTATTAGAGCAGAAGATAGGTAAGAAGAATGGCATGCCTACGTTATCTATCCCACCTCTTGTGATGTTACACATGTTGTTAATACTGAGTTACCACAGACTTGGCTCCGGGATCATGAAACTGTCTTAAGTCTTAAGTCAGACTTAACTCCAAAAATTTGCACTTAAAATTTAAGATTGTTCTTAAAGTGGATCACAAAAAAATGACTTAGAGTTAAGATTGGAATTTTGTCTTAAATTTTAAGACTGCTCATGGGTAGTCTTAAGTTTTAAGATTGATCTTAAGTTCTTTCAAAATGGCCGCTGTTGTTGGTTTCTTGAGACGTGTTCAAGGGGGAAATGTTGATACTGTCCGGTGGAGACGGCGTCCCCCTCGCCCCAGGCTTTCCAGGGATCGGTTGAATCCACTGGACCTCCGAACAGATGACGAGTTGTTCGAGAGATATCGTTTTCGCCGCCCTACGATAATGTTTATTCAGGACAGAAAAACCCATCCTAGCAAGAGATCGTTGGCCCTTTCAGCGATGATTCAGCTGCTGGTTTTCCTCCGGTTTGTGGCTACGGGGGCCTTTCATCAACTTGTGGGGGATGCCATCCACATCTCCAAAGCCACGGCAGGACGATGCATCCGCAGGGTGGCATCTGCAATAGCGAATGTTGCTGGTCGTTTTATTCGCTTTCCTTCTGGACAGGATGCCACCAACGTAAAGAGAATGTTTCATGCTATCGCAGGTAAGAATCCATGGCTTTTCACTTACACATGTGTTCGAGACCTTCGCATTAAAAACAAACAACTGCGCCCCCTTGAATCAGTAAACACGTTTCGTTCTATAAGCATTTCGGTTCTACCTTTTCGACGCAAATCTCAAGTCACTGTTTTAAATGCATTTACGTATTTCTTACATCTAAGAAAAAAAAATAAGGATCCCTTGAACATTATCAATTGTAATCATTATATATATGTGTGTTTTGGTGAGTGTGTAGTGTTACTAAATTACATGTATATAATTATACAATATGTGGCAGAAAAGGGGGTAGGGGGTGGGGTGGGGTGGGGGTAACTCCAAAATCAGTCATATTGTACATTGAAATCTTTACTATTCTACTCTTTATAACTTTATTATCATGTTCAGTAAAGAATTAATCCTATTTTGATATGTTCATAACTATAACTTTTGTATGATTTTAAAAATAAAAAGGGAATCAGATATCATCAGAAGGTATATACATTTACTCACACAAACAAATTGAAAACTTATGATATTTGCTGCTATTGACCTGATGAAAATATTAATCTATGAAATCTATTTATTGTAGGGTTCCCTGGTGTCTTGGGGTGTGTTGATGGTACTTTTATCCGCATCCAAACTCCTACTGAAAATGAGCTGATTATGTTAATTGAAAAGTCATGGTAATTGTTTTTTGATTCAAGATAATTTTAAATTAAAAAAAAAAAAAACATTGAAAGAGCTAAATTAGCTTTCAATGATTTAAATTTAGAAATAAAGTAGGCAATGAATCCTCTTATATATGAATTCATCACAATCATTGATTTTAAAGATAAATAACATACATGTATTATGAAAACTTAATTTACAAACAATAAATTAATGTTTAATTTGATCATATTTCAGATGACCTGTGATGCTAATTTTATGGTGACCAACTGTGTTGCCAAGTGGCCAGGATCTTGCCATGATTCAAGGGTTTTTCGAGAAAGTGTTCTCTGTCAGCAGTTTGAGAATGGTAAATATCACATGCAGTTAATTTTAACTGAATTTTGATGGAATATAATTATTTAACTTTGATATTCCTATACCTCCCTGAAGATATATATGTAATAAGTATAAGAAAAATATGGTAAAGGAAACAAAACTAAATAAGGAACAGGAAAAAAACTGTAATGTTTATCAGTAATTATATGTACTAACATAAACTAGATTTAAGGTATTTTTTTCAAATGATAAAGTCATATGGCCCATAACCTGTATGAAATTTAAAGGCGGATTCCGCCTGGAATATGGGTGGAATATAGCAGGAATTGGCTAATTCCGGGCGTACTTGAGACGGAGACGGACTTTTGAAAAGTTACGCCTGAGTAGAAGAGGCGTCTTCCAGGCGTCATTTCTACTATCCGGGCGTCAGTTTGCAAGTTCAGATTTTCCCTGGCGTAAAATAGCAGGAAAATTGAAACAGAAATTATGCCTGGAACTTTCAGGAGGAGTAAAAGCCTCTGATTGGTCAATTTAATTATCAATTAAGGGTCATTTCAGATAGGAGGTTAAGTTTGAATTTCATCAGGAAGGAGGGAGTTTAGTGTGAGTGAAATAGGAAATACAGATATATCAATGTTAAGGCTTTTACACTTGTTCTGGATGACACATTATCTCCTGGTAGGTGTGATGATTCATATCTGGTACCTATTTAGGTAAATTTGAGTGTACAATGATTGTTATTGACTCTTAGATTATTCCAGTTTCCTTGAACAAATTCTAAGATGTGTTAGAGGCACTCAGACTGTAAACTACTGATTAATGAACTGATGTTAAGTAATCTGTTTGATTCAATTGTCCATGTTGTCATGCCTGAAGTGATAAAAAAATTTCAAAAAGTTTATCAAATTCTTATAGACATTATTTTACACTCCTGATGATGTCTCAGTGTCCCTTATGCAAAGAAATAAAACAGCTTTCATATATTATATTTCTATACTGTTTTAGATGTTAATGACTTGTCATTATGTTTTCTTACAGTTCAAAAGGCTAAATTTTCAACTTCAACATTGTAAATCATAATTTTGCTTTTCTTGGATATATAGGTTTTTAGGTCACGTAGTATTATATAATAATAAGGACTTTCCAGGCATAATTCTGCTTCAGGCGTCATTTTAGTTTCCAGGCGTAATTTTTTTTCCAGGCGTCATTTATTTTTCCGGGCCTAACTCATTTGCTTTTTTCGCCTCAAATTCCTGCTCAATTCCTCTTGGGTTACGCCCGGAACCTGTATATCACCATATGTGTAGTGAGACAAACTGACGCCCGGAATCCTTCTCAAAGTAAGCCTCTATTCCCCCTATATTCCGGGCGGAACATTTCGTACAGGAAGGGCCAGACAATAAACACAATTTGAGTTTTGGTATATGGACATGCAGTTAAAATATTTTCAACATCTTCTGAATCATACTGAAATCTTTGTCATTTTGCTTTCCAGACGTTTAAGTGATTCTGAATTTATTCTTTTTAATATATTAATTTCATGATTTTTCAGGTCAGCATAATGGTATACTTTTGGGGGACTCCGGGTACCCTTGTCGGACATATCTAATGACGCCTTACAATACCAATGATGTCAGGTACAGAGAGCGATACAACAGTGCACTGTGTAGAACACGAGTCCTTATCGAGCAGACATACGGCATACTAAAGAGAAGATTCCCTTTCCTTTCCATTGGCCTTAGAACAAGCCCAGAAAGAGCCTGTCAGTATGTGATAACCTGTGTTGTCCTGCATAATATAGGGATCCTGAGGCAAGATATTGTGTCCCTTGACCCACGTGACCTAATCATAGCCGGTCCAGATGTGGATGAGATCAATCACGGTAACAACAGTGGTTTTGGATACAGGGAACTCATTGCCAGACAATGTTTTTATTACTAATTAATATCTCAGGCCATTCTCTTCTTAATTCATGAGAAACTAGGAAAAAATAATAATTTATAACTTGTTCAGTTCTTACATAATATACAATCATAATCACAAAGCAGAAGTCATTTATAAATTTATACTGCTTGCAGTTTATTTAATGTTTTCTCCCATATCAGTTAAATCACACAGTGCACTGTTGTATCACTCTCTGTACCTAGTACATCATTGGTATTGTTGTAAGGTTACAAACATACCATTACATTTCAGTATGTATCTGTCAGTGTAATAAATCATTATTATTAATAGTAATATTCTGCGTTCGTTTTAGCAATTAATACAACTACCAGTATATGAAATATATTTACCTTAATAGTTATACCAGTATATGAACTTGTTATATTCCGTTATTTACATGACGTTATTATAAGGAAATTTCCCTTTATTTGTGGTTCCTATTATATGAGATTTATGAAGACTGGAGCCCCCTTTAAGCAGCTTAAGGCTGAGGTTAAAGTAAGTCAAACTCAAAGGTCAAGGTCATGAATTCAAAAGTGCCGGTACCCAAAGAAAGGTCTTGTAAAAATAATTCATGTGTGAATCATGAAAGCCCTAGATAGCTAACACCAGTCTTCAGAAGTTATAGCCGAGGTGGGTTATTTTTATTAAAGATAGGTCACACTTAAAGGTCACGGTCATGAGGTCATACATGAAAGAAAGGTCTTGTTATAATGAATATTCATCTTAAATATGAAAACCATAGCACCTCCATTCATAAGTTATGAAGTTAAAATTTTTGGCCGACACAGCCAGTCAGACATATTCTATATACTCCTAAATATTTTATTATAGGGCATAAAAATTATTCCCTCTCTATATCTCACCTCATATTTCTTGAAAGCAGCAATTGTCAATATGGATTGTCTTGCAGTGTAGTATTTTTCTTTTTCTTTTTTTTGTGACACTCTGTGAGTCATTCTATGAGACACAAGATACTTATAATGAAAATGAAACAAATTTATTGCAATGAAAGCAATGATAATAATATGATTGCTTAACTTTCCTTCAACATTAACAATGCAGTAAAATATCAACTACCAACAAATGACACATGAGGGAAAAAATGTGTAACTTAATAATGTAAAAAAAATTTGATTTTCATGAAGTTAATTAATAATTTTGCATGTTGAACTGTCAATTATGAAGAAAAAATTGGCCCAAATCAATTTGATTATTCGTGTATATGCAGCATATTAGTTTGTAAAGTTTATCCTTCATTGTTGTGTCTATTTCATAACAATTTAGTTATAAACAGTTTCTAAATGGATGCATGATGAAGTTCAATTTACAATTAACATGCACCAATGCACTGTACTTTATTTTATATTTCAAATGCATTAATGTACTTTATTTTATATTTCAATAAGAGAAATATTCTTATTAAATTCAGTGCAATTTTTTTTGGCACATGCATGCTTATGCATGACTGCGTAAAGGGAAACAACTCTTGACTTTAAAATGGGATATTTTGCAATGTATTAATAAGCACCATATGTTTTTTACATAACCTAAAGCATCACCATTGTCATATTGTTTTGACTATCAATGTGTATGGGCATTTTTTAAAGTTAAATTGTCATCCAAACAAAACAATAATAATTATATGAAAGATGTTCAAATAAAAAAAATTACAAGATAAATGATAACAATTAATAGCAAATTAAAGCTTATTCAATATTCCCATTTGTTTCTGACATATGTACAGTATATGGAATTGTAGTCAGTGATAATAACTTGTATATTTTTTGTTAAAATAACAACTTTTAGAAAATATACCACTAAAGATTTAACAATTTCAAAGAACAGAAAATGATGGAAATTAATTATACTGTATTTATAAACATGTACAACATCTGTAAAATTAAAAATAAACAAACTGGAAAATTGTGAATTTTATTATACATGTATCATGTTAGTTGATTGTCAGTGATATCAATGCTCAATGAAGGATTTTAGAAAACACTGAATGTGTCTTATTGCTTTTTTTAAACTTTGATACTTGAATCAAAAGCTGAATTGATATAACATGGCTTATTGTATAAGACTCAGTTTTTCTTTCCATTTGATAGAAGCAAATTTTAAAGAAAATTGTCGAGAAAAACAAAAAAAAATATATCATAGATACTAAAATGTAATTTGAACAAAAAGAGTGGACAGTGAATCAACAACAAGAATTACCAATATTTCAAAGCAGTAAATGATGGATTTAGTATGTATACAATTTGTCTGAAAATCCAAAAAAAGTACAAAATTAATATAGTATTTATAGTATTGCAACATCAGAGAGAGAAGAAATGCATATGATAAAGATGAATGGTAAAGAACTAAAGATTATATCATGTAGTTCTCTACTTTTAACTTTTTAGAAATTTTTACTGCAGGTGGTAAGGCATAAATATTTGAAAAATGCCATGAAAAGTTTCAATGTATGCAAGTATACAGCCACTATCATTCATAAATTAGGAACCTCTATAAACTGCATACTAATGAGTTCTGATTCTATGGTATACTTTTATTCTTACAATCACACTGAATTATGATATGGATACAGCGTGCAAGCAGAGTTAAAATACATGAGGTATTGATAAATTTTGTAACAAAAACCACAATTAGAATAATGACATGATCATTATTGATGCAGAAGATACTCTCTTATACATATCCACAAGAAAACCCTTTTTTACTAGTACTAGTGATTATACTGCAGTTGTTATAACAGTAGTACAGTAATACAATGCCATTTGTGAACAATTTTATCAATATATTAATTGCTATTAATGTGTTAAACAAATTTAATAATGCAAAGTCATAGATCCTAAATTCTACAAAGAAGAATAAAACATTCAGTGAATTATTATAGCAAATGCACATACTTATGAGAAACCAATTATAGCATGTACGTAGATACAAAATATCATAATGATGTCATAATGTTTGGAAATACACATACAGTATGAGAATAATTGGATGGATGTTATCAATGTGTAAAGAATACGTTTTACATACTTAATAAATTTAATTTGACCCAGAGACACTTAATTATCAGCCAGAGGACAGGAAAGAAGAAGGCAAAATAAAAGTTAAAAGTTTACAGGCAGATATAGACAGACTGACGCCAGACAAATTGTGATCAGAAAAGCTCATAAGAATTAACTATGATGTTATACGTCACAACATATGTATCAACACCCATGCATTACTGCTCCCATTACAGTAATACAAATAGCTAAAGGCATGCATTGCAGCTTTGTAATACATGGATGTTGATACATCTGTTGTGATGTCAGGCACATCGCACATGCAAAAACCAGTGTATTTATTACTACGTATTCAAAAAAAATTACATTTCATTCATAAGGTGTTCGAAATTGAAAAAGGGATCTTTCTGTTTAATTTTTAACATTACATGCTGTTTTTGAAGATGGACAAGCTGTTGTTGTTCTTTAATAAGCTTTCTTCTTTCTTTGATGTTGATTAGTTCTTCTTGAAGAAGCATTTCTGGTGTAACTTTCAAATGAAGCTCTGTTGATGAAGTGGTAGATGTGGAGATCAGAGGCTGTGTTTGTGGAAACAAATGCTCAAACTGAGTGGTCTCACTAGTCAAATCAAATTCATGCAAGGCATGGTTGTCATCCAAGAAATCCACAACTGATTCTGCAAGAATGATTTTTTTGTTAATTTAACTTGTTGTGTCATAATGCCCCTGCAGTGGGGCATAAATATTTTCACATAATTTTTTGAATATACATTCAAATTCATATGTCAGATTTTTGATAATTGATTGATCTGATTTTTTTTCAATTCATATTTTTTTTATTGATGACTCTATCAACAAAAATTATCCCTGTAAAATTCATCTTTTTTTATTACTTTAATAGTTCACCATACACTAAATAAAATTAATAATTAATGTTATTGTGCATTAAAAGCTTATTCATTTATATTATTATTCATTACCAGCTGCAGTGTCTATTCCAGTAGGAAGGCTACATAGACTTGTTCTGCCTTTCAAGTTGTCCAACAATAACTGTTCACTAACATTCGGGGATGATGGTTTTTTTCCCTCCCCCAGTCTTAGGGTTCAAAATCGCACTTCTTTTTTCTTTTGCTACAATAGAGATATTAAATTAAATGGTGACAATCCATACATGGCAACTTTTGAAAATTCCCATGGGGGATTTTGCGCATGACAATTTTTAAAGTTTTAAATTCAAGACATTTTGTAGTGAAAATAAATGTTTATCCCATTTTTAAAATTTATAGTATTGACATCATTTATTAATACAGGTTGAGGATAAATAACACAAACAAAATTTTTCCTTCCAAAATTCAAATATATGTATCTTAATTTGCTTAAATAGGTTGCCTCTTTCACTAAAGAAGTTATATCTATTAAGATAAACAACATTATGTTTGCCCAAGACACATACTTTGATGAAAAATGGGAAAATGTACAACTTTCAGTTCAATATTTTTTTTTTGTAATGTTTTAGAAATATGTGAGGTTTTGTTAATTTAAAGTTTCTGGGAAAAATTTTTAAGATTCTATATTTAACATTTTCCACAATTAGAATTTCCTAATCAGACATTAAATTGAAAGAAATATTGAAAAATTCCCATGCTTTTATTTTCTTTATTTTGTTTATTTATTTATTTTTTTATCATAATTTTTTTTTTTTTTTTTTTTTTTTTTTTTTTTTTTTTTTTTGGGTGTGGGGGATAAGAAAATTTGTTTAATCTTAAAATCTCTTGGGCATGCACTGTTATATAATCAATATTTTTTTTTAATTATTACTTATAAACCTAAATATCTTAACGAAGTACATCTAATATTTTTTTATGTATTTATAGATTATGAGAAGAGCATCATACCTTTCTGTTTGATGTTCTGGTATTTCTTCTTTATTTCATTCACATTTCTGCACGAACTAAATGTACTTCCACTACGAAAAAAATGAATCTATTTAACAAACTATGTATATAAAAATTTAATGTTTCTTACATTGTGGTTAATTTTTAATATTTTATTTTTCATAATAAAGAATACATACATGTACTCATGTAGATACTTTGCAATATCTATTTATAGCTTTCGGGTTTCCCCTTTTGTGTATTTTGCTTTTTCTACTAAATTGCATACAGTATT